GATGAGCTCCCTTAAAAGGAGATGCACCTCTGTTGGTATGAGTAGTACTATTAATCCGTTTATATTAAATCTCAAGTGTTACAGACCGTTTCTGAGTCTAGTCATATGGTTGATAATGTTAGTTGGTTACCGATTGTTGTTGTTAGCATTGGTCTCCTTGAGTTTGTTGTAGCGATCCGAATCATAATGATATTAGAATAATTAAGCGATTTTCCTTTCAAAAAAATGATACGAGTGTTTTAAAGTAGAAATAATGACATATATATATATATATATATATATATATATATATATATATATATATATATATATATATATATATATATATATATGACTGGAATAAAAGTAGTGGACAAAAATAAGACTTAGTGACTATCATAGTAACTTTAGTTACCATGATTGTGTTCAACTTTACCACTATAGTGACTATGCATAGTAACTATAGTAATATTTTTGTTATTAGTTATATTTCGGTAATATTAATGGAAAAACCTTTTTAAAGTAGATTAAGAACTAATTTCTTGTTCCATATGAGAGGTTCTCTCTAGTGGCAGCCTGGTACCCTCAAGTTAGGGTTTGTTTTGGTGTCGACTTCCGAGTTCGGCGTTCTGGTCCCCTTCAATGCCTTGAGTGTTTGATGGTGGTTGGAGTTTCTTAGCGAGGTGATGCCATACAGGTTCATGATATTTGTTTTTATGGAGGGCAGTGGTTGTCCTGGTGTGATGCTCCAGCATACCGGAAAAGAACCATACACAAATATTGAATGGTGGAGCATTTGGCTGTTGGGTTTGGCTACATATGACGGCAAAGTGAGATTCAATTTGGATCATCTACGGCAATGTGATGAGTCAAAAGAGGTATATCAATTGGAGGGCTGTTCTCATCAGGCCGGCCTGACGGGCTGCCCCGTCCGGCCGAGCCCGTTTGGGCACCTTCCCGGTGGAATTTTTTGATGAAATTTTTTGAGCATGTTACTCATCAAGTCTAGTTTGTCCATACCAAATTTCAGCTCAAAATTCGATCGGGAAGGTCGTCAAATGATTTTTGCACGTTAACTGGTCCGGAAAATACATATTCCGGACCAGTTAACTTGCAAAAATCATTTGACGACCTTCCCGATCGAATTTTGAGCTGAAATTTGGTATGGAAAAACTAGACTTGATGAGGAACATGCTCAAAAAATTTCATCAAAAAATTCCACCGGGAAGGTGCCCAAACGGGCTCGGCCGGACGGGGCAGCCCGTCAGGCCGGCCTGATGAGAACAGCCCTCCAATTGATATACCTCTTTTGACTCATCACATTGCCGTAGATGATCCAAATTGAATCTCACTTTGCCGTCATATGTAGCCAAACCCAACAGCCAAATGCTCCACCATTCAATATTTGTGTATGGTTCTTTTCCGGTATGCTGGAGCATCACACCAGGACAACCACTGCCCTCCATAAAAACAAATATCATGAACCTGTATGGCATCACCTCGCTAAGAAACTCCAACCACCATCAAACACTCAAGGCATTGAAGGGGACCAGAACGCCGAACTCGGAAGTCGACACCAAAACAAACCCTAACTTGAGGGTACCAGGCTGCCACTAGAGAGAACCTCTCATATGGAACAAGAAATTAGTTCTTAATCTACTTTAAAAAGGTTTTTCCATTAATATTACCGAAATATAACTAATAACAAAAATATTACTATAGTTACTATGCATAGTCACTATAGTGGTAAAGTTGAACACAATCATGGTAACTAAAGTTACTATGATAGTCACTAAGTCTTATTTTTGTCCACTACTTTTATTCCAGTCATATATATATATATATATATATATATATATATATATATGTCATTATTTCTACTTTAAAACACTCGTATCATTTTTTTGAAAGGAAAATCGCTTAATTATTCTAATATCATTATGATTCGGATCGCTACAACAAACTCAAGGAGACCAATGCTAACAACAACAATCGGTAACCAACTAACATTATCAACCATATGACTAGACTCAGAAACGGTCTGTAACACTTGAGATTTAATATAAACGGATTAATAGTACTACTCATACCAACAGAGGTGCATCTCCTTTTAAGGGAGCTCATCACCCAAGAACTCCAAAGTTAAGTGTGCTTGCACGGGAGTAGTCTTGGGATGGGTGACCCCCTGGGAAGTTTCTCAGGGCGCGCATGAGTGAGGACAAAGTGCGCGATAAAGGCTTGTGGTGGTTTGTGGGGACAGTACTAGAGGTCTGAAGTAACTACCTCGGGTCTTGCGGGGCCGGGGTGTTACAGGTGGTATCAGAGCAACCCTGCGACAGTGTGTTGATCCGTTGGATATCGGGCGGACACTTAGCAGGGGAAAAGATTCTGGGGTTTGATTGAGATTGGTTTAAGGGCGCAACGAGGACGTTGCGATCCTAAGTGGGGGTGATTGTAACACTTGAGATTTAATATAAACGGATTAATAGTACTACTCATACCAACAGAGGTGCATCTCCTTTTAAGGGAGCTCATCACCCAAGAACTCCAAAGTTAAGTGTGCTTGCACGGGAGTAGTCTTGGGATGGGTGACCCCCTGGGAAGTTTCTCAGGGCGCGCATGAGTGAGGACAAAGTGCGCGATAAAGGCTTGTGGTGGTTTGTGGGGACAGTACTAGAGGTCTGAAGTAACTACCTCGGGTCTTGCGGGGCCGGGGTGTTACACGGTCACCCCCAAAAGAGCAATACGTTTGTTAACCACCAAACAAGTGTGACACAACAATCACTGATCATATAGATCTTTCTAATGACATAATATCTAGTAGAATGGCGAATCAATATTGTAGATCTAAAACTAAAGACATTAACAAAAAACCCTCCACCCATGTTATTACGTCAATGCAAGAACTAACCTTTTGACCTCCTCCTCAATTGCTGGAATGGGACAACGTTACTCTAGATCATCCATATAAGTCATGATTATCATTTCCTGACCCTACACTCAATCAAAATGTCAAAGAAAAACTGACTCACGAAAGTGCGGCATTAAAATACTCTCGACACGCGAGAGAACAATCTAGCTCTCGACAAGTGAGAGAAAAACTTGTCTCTCGAAAAGAGAGAGAAACTTACATGAGTCTCTATCTAAGAAAGGAAGGCTACTGAGCAATTTCCACTACTCAAGAACGAGGGTTTTGGAAACCTTAATCATTTTTTAATGTGTTAAACTCAACACTTATATCATTTTTTTAATCCAAGTACTTGAAAATACTTTTTGAAGTTTTGTAAACACTCACTTAGCCAATTTTTACAATAAGTTACTTATTTTGAAATGGTGGTGAAATGGTAGTACATGGTTTGGGATCGCTTAGACCTTTTTTGAGGAATTTGACTCCTCTCTGATGGGGACTTTAATTTCCAGTAGGAGAGATAGTGAGAGAGATGAGAAAATACTCAAAATAGTAGGGTGGGGTAAAATATAAGGTGGGTTTTATTAATTATTTTTAGGAAATATATCGAGTGAAAAAGAAATGGAGAGAGGAAATTGAGAGGAGTACGACTCATTTATAAAATAGCATGCAGTTCTATATATGATAATAGAAATTGCCTCTTAATATGAGTCTTTGCTCTAAAACACACTCCTCTAAAACATACCCCGTAGTAATTTATCATTTAGAAATTTGTTTACTAACACAAATATAGTTCAAAAATAGGATTAACTATATATTATATTCTTTAAATAAAATATATTAAGTGTTAATAAAGAAAAAATTAGATTAGAACTCCATCGTACAGCCGGTTGTACCGTGCGCACGGTACAACCGGTTGTACCGTGCGCACGGTAAAGTTGGCCCTTTTTTGCTTTGCACTTCTTACACTTCGATCTTGCTCTGCGCTTCTTCGGCTTCGCAACAAGCTTCGCACCAGCTTTTCAGATCTCGTCTGGTTCTTCAATCTAGCTTCACACCTGGTTGACTATCGCCAACGCTCAACACTCGTCTCTTTCTCTTCCAGCTCGTTGTTCGTCGCTGCCTCACACCACTCATCTCCTTCTCCTCTAGAACAGACACAACAGATCCTCCCTTTGTCTTTATTTCGCTCTTTTAGTTTTTCTTTTTTTCTTAATCCATTTTGGTGTTTGAGATTGTGATTTTGGAAGACAAACAGTGAAAGAAAGAAACTCAAAGGTATCCCTACTGCCATTGATCTCAAATGAGTTTTATATTAAACTCAAATGAGCATACACATAAAAGAAATGAACATACACAACCGAATATTAAGCATATTAAAAATGAGTCTTGTATTAAACTCAAATGAGTATATGCTTAAAAGAAATGAACAAACACAACTGAATATTGAGCACATTAAAAATGAGTTTTATGTTAAACTTAAATGAGTATAACATCCAAAATCAATGAGCAGACACAAATGAGCTTTTGCATTTTTTGATACTCATTTTGTAAATTATATATGCTCATTTGAAACTTTTTTATGCTCATTTTAAAATATTGCACATATCAAACATATCATACTACATTAGATTCACATATTGAAATTTTATTCTGAACATAATTTAAGATTTTTTTTATAAACAAAAAAATAATAAAAAGAAACTGAATTAGAACATATGAAGCAGAGATCAATGATGCTCATTGGTAAGTTTTTAATACTCAAAAGAATAGATTCGATGCGCATCCAAATTACATCAATTCTCATTTAAAAGAAATCATGAATTTCATCAAAATTACAAAATTGTCATCTGTGGTACGATGTCAGCCGTACAATAGTTATGAACTGGTTTATTTTATTAGTGTTATCTAATAAATTACTCTAATTTATTTAACTTTTTGGAGTTAACTCCTGTTACATCATTCGGTGATTCCAACCAAGTAACCGATTTGCCTTTCCTCAGAAAGAAACGCATGAAATAATGGAAATTTGGTGACAAAAGGACAACAAGAAAGTTTGACTTCAAATATAAAAAACGTTCATGCAGTACAAACACCACTCTTGCTGAAGTAAGCTCAAACCAAATTCTACTCTCTCTTGTAAAGATAGAGAGGCAGATCAAAGGTATCATCAAGCTCTTCTTCTCTGAAATTATAGCAATCTAAACTTCACAAAGTTTTCACCTTTTTCAAGTGGGTACATAAATTCTTTATATGGTTCCAAGAAAAAGTTACTCTTTTTATTCTGAGAATTCGAAAAGGTTTCTGTCTTTCAGGTTCAACTTTTCCAACATCCCTTTCTCCCATCTTTTCATCTTTTTGCTTTCATCATCAGTTATAACAGTAGCTGAAAAAAATATATTCATAACGCATGCATGAATCATGAACATCAGAATTCAGAACATGAAAATCTGAAAGTAATTTAAACAGAGTATTTATGCTATAGGTTTTATTGAACTGAAGAAAAAAGATGAAGCCGGCCGCTAAGGAGGAGGAATTAGGCCCACATCCGGTGAAAGATCAACTTCCCGGAGTCTTCTACTGTCTCAACAGCAGCCCTTCCTGGGGTACATTCATACAGACATATCTTCCTTCTCATTCTCATTTTTTTCTATGAGTTTCTGTTTATTTCTTCTGAGTGTGTCTTGAGTTTACACAAATAACAATTACCCATCCTTCAACATGGTCTCTCTAATCTTATCATGTTGCCTTTTAGTAGCTAGTATATGATCATCTTGTAAATTTCATAATTTATAAATTGACATGGAATCATCTGTGTTAGATTATTTATTCCAAAATTGTACTACTATTACATGTGAAGCTTTATCTCTTAGATTTGATAATGGATTTATGTACTTAGACCGAGTATAAAACTCAAACTGACTGCCTTGGTTTTATCTCTTTCCTTTTTAGGATGCATTCTAGCCAACTTAAATAACCGGATTACGAAGAAAATACATGGGTTTCAAATCATCATCAAACAAATATTAAAATACTCCCAATTTTGGAGAAGTAAAGATTAAATGCTAGGGTGATAAGACTGTGTGGAACTAACTAATAGGTTATACTTAATATCTTCACAAATTGGTTTCCCCTTTATAATTATGTAAATTGGATATGGATTTTGCACAATATAATTCTTAATTTCTTGTATGTAAAACCAGACTTTGATGAATAATAATGCATAATCTGTATATCCTGGCATTAATGCAGCGGAGTCTATCATCCTCGGGTTTCAGCACTATCTGGTCATGCTAGGGACTACTGTTATCATCCCCACGATTATTGTTCCCCAAATGGGAGGCACTAATGTATGTTTTCTGCCCCTGCCATTTTTGTTTCTTGTTAAGATTATGTTCATGTCCATATGCATTTGCTCACAGTTTATAGGCCAATTGTCTACCAGAAAGAGAAAGCTGAATTGGTACAAACTTTGCTCTTTGTTGCTGGGGTGAACACACTGCTGCAAACATGGTTAGGATCCCGTCTTCCTGTTGTGATTGGTGGCTCGTACAGATTCATAATTCCAGTCATATACGTGGCATTATCCGATAGATTCAATTCATATTCTGATCCTCGTGAGGTTGTTGACATATTCTTCCGCTCTTTGATATTGTTAGATTCTCACATAGACTATGATAGACAAAGACATATGGACATGTAATGTCGTGGTTTTACTAGCAGTCAAATTTAACCTTTCAACCCAAGGCCTTTAGAACTCATCTTTCTTCTTGTATTAATCTGATGTGGGAATCTGACATCGGAATTTTGTATCTGAAGTTCATGTTCTCACCTTTTCTTGGTTATGGATTTTAAGCGGTTTAAACAAACGATGAGAGCAATGCAAGGGGCTCTTATTATTGCATATATTCAACCCATGTAAATTGGATTGCTGGGGCTATGGAGAATTGTTGTGAGGTGAGCAGTTTATTTCTTCACAAGCATTTGATTATAATTTAATTGGAGCTTAATATATTCCGTTTAAGAAATTCAGCTTTGTGCAAATTTTGGTAATATAATGTATAGTAGGTTCTTGAGTCCTCTTTCTGCTGTTCCTTTGGTATCACTTGTCGGCTTTGGGCTGTACGAACATGGTTTCCCGTTGGTAATCTAACTTCAACTATACGCACTACATGTAATAATTAAGCTTGACCTGCCCTTGGGTGTTAAAGTGTCCTAATAGTAAGGTGAACCTAATTTCCAAATTTACAAAATAAAGGAGAACCATCTTGAATATACGTGTTTGACTGTGCTTTTGACTGCGCAGTTATCTTCAAGAATTCATTTGAATGCCTTCCCGATTGAAGTTTTAGCTAAAATTTGGTATGAGTAAACTAGACTTCATGAATACGATGCACAAAATATTTCATCAAAAAATTCCACCGAAAACCACACCAAATGGTGACGTCCGGATAGAGCCTCCTAAATAAGGGCTTATTTGACCTTTTTTGGTTAGTACATGGGCCTATTTGCACCTTTACCCTAAAACATAACTTTAAACGTAATCGAATAAAAATTGAGAGAGGTACATTAGGACATTATATATTATTATTTTCGAGAACTTGATTAAAATGTTTTCTTAATTAGAAACTATTAATTTAATTTAGAATTAAATCAAAAGTCTAGTTTCAACTATGTTATTAAAATGTGATTTATAGCCTTAGAGCCATTAACTAATTATAGCATAAGCGACTCTTACTACGTACTCCCCTGTCGTTAATTTAATTTTTGGTGTTGGTTAAGCTTTTCTGGTGAACTGTTTTTTCATTTACTAATTTAGTCCGAATAGTCTCTCTATGAGAAGGGACCATTTTAGTTTTGATATCCGTTTCAGTGAAATATCAATCTTCTGAATTAATCTATTTGTTTTTAGGTAATCATAATCAATGAATTATACTTGCTTTAAGTGTCTTCTATTTTTGTATTAAGCCTCTTCATTTTTAAGCTTACTCCTTTGTTTGTTTGTTATGGAAAACTTCTGTGTACCATTAAATGGGTGGATGTGTATGATAAGGTTAGAGGCATGAAAACAGATGAGTATTAGATGAGTATGGTACTTTAAGTGTTAATTCAAATAAGCAATTAAAAATGAATGAACCATATATCCTTACTAATCAAGCGAGACAAGCTTTCTATGTTACTGACAACATTGATAAAGGCTGGCTGCTTATTGCAAAAAACAGAGGAAGAAACATTCCCGATGATGTTTTGTACAATGAAGTATATTGAAATCCTAAATTTCCAGAAAACCCATTGGTAAGCGTTTGTTATTTATAATTTGTTCTATGTTTTACTACATTTACTTTTCTAATTTAATATTTACACAAAAAATCATTGTTGAAGGAGGTGACTCTTTTATTTCCATGATGAATATGACTGGAAATAAGAGAGGAACAAATATATTTGAAACAAATATATTTGATGATGGTAGTGAACTGGAGATTTGACATCATTACAAGATTCAAATGGTAATGGTTTAACATATAATGATTGTTTCCATTTCACTTTTTTGTCTATATTGAACGTTTCACGTTAGTGTCCGTCTTGTTCGAAGGAGGTGGCCATTGCCCTACTAAAAATAAAATAGTTCGTGAAAGTACATGCATAACAAAAATTGGTGTAGACGTTAGAACCACCGTAATGGATGGAGACCAGACAGCTCTACAAAATCCAAATGGTAAAAGTGGATCCCTGTGCAATTCATATATCTCCCTACTTAATTTAGACAGCAACTTTCTAAAAAGAAAACTATGCTTGTTAATATATGGGGCCTCCTATATATATTAACCTTCTATTGTGTTCTTGGGAGACCTGAAATCGATTTTCTAAGAATGTCACTTGCGGTGAAGGTGGGGCCTCCTATACTAATAATGAGAAAATAATGAGTCATAACAAGCAGGAGGAATGTTCTTGATGTTGTGACTCAGAATCAAAGGAAGATCAGATAGTCGTACAAGATCTAAATGGTAAACATTTAGTATTTCATTATTGTTATAATACATTTTTTGTTCTTGTTGTCATTATCCAAACACTTTGAATCATATTTTGTTTTGGTTGAAGATGTTGACTCTTGTAGTACTAGAAGAAATCAGTGAAAAAAAAGAAGGGAAGAAACAAGTGTAAGAAAATAGCAAGGCTGAAACCTGGTGAGAAACTTGAGGTAATTTTCTATAACAATTGATCATCCAGAATTAGTATTAAGATTAGAAGTTTACATTACACTTACATGTATTAGTTTTATATATTGATAAAATGTAACATATTTCACACATCTGAGTTTATCAATATTGTCTTGGATGATCATTTATATGGATTGCCCTAGCTTCTTTTTTAGCTGAATTGTATTTCCTTTTAGTAAAACACAACCACATCTAGACAAGCCTAAACTAGAGCTATAAGCAGATCTTATATCCCCGAGAGATATTGGTAATTTCGAAACATCATAAAGTTTTGCTTTATTTTCTATTTGGTTTGTGACATTCAGACAGGTGTTGGTGACTTCATTCCAAGTAGATAGATTCCTGAAATCAAGTTCAATACCATTGCCCTTCTTTAGTAAGTCTAAAAGTTTGTTAGGAAATTTAGTACTAGTATTTTTTTATTGATATTTAATACATTATGATTATGATTATTTGGGTAGAGAAAATGTTTGTCTACATGGCACAATAAACTGGTTTATAAATCTGCAGGAGCTTGTCTATAAATCTGCAGAAACTTGTTTTTTATTGAAATTTAATACATTATGGTTATCATATGTTGTACTTCTAATTAACTAATTGTAAAATTATTTTGAAGGAAACACATAATGCATATTGTTTGAGCTCTGAAAACTTCATGCAACATTATTGGAATAGTTTTGCCACTGGTGTGTGATTTTTCATGTGAAGAGGCTTGTAAGGGTGAACCTATAAGGTGTCTAAAGTCCTGGATGGTAACTCTTCTCAATTTCTCAAACTTCTAACTTAACTGATTCAATTCTCTACATAGTTTTATTACAATAAGATGAATATTCTTATGCATTAGGTAAAATGCTTGGGAAGTAAGAATTTGTCAAATAACCTACACCATGAAATTCAAAGGTCACAAGATTAGACTCACCCAAGAAAGATGTTTTTTCCCATGTGGTGTTTCTGATCATGGTTTACTCGGCCCAATTATTAGTAATGTGTAAATAGTTTTTTTAAGAAACCAAGAAAAATAAGACATGTTTCTAGTTTGTTTATTAATAATGGTATTGCTGCTATAACTTAAAAAGAATATACAATCAAACAAAAATGGGAGATTGAGTCAAGTCAATAATTAACTTGGAACAAGCAGCAGAAAACCTTGTGTTGTCACTTTCACTCCTGAATTTGCATGGGAGAGGAGGGGTACATATATTTATGATCTCAACTTCACAGGTATGATTATCCGTGGCCAAACACAGATGCTGATCCTCACTATTTCCTCAGGCAACTTATTGGTTTCAACAAAACTAGGTTTATCTTCTTTATTGTTGCTGAATATATTGTTAGATTTTGAAAAGAAATGGAGATGATGATGCTCCATGAAAGTCGGTGAAACTGGTAAGACCTGTTATTTTCTTACTCCTATTTGTGATTTTCAATAATTACTTGTTCCATCAAATCAAGTTCTGAGGAAGCGGATTCTTAGGTGCCACGAACTCCATCACATTCATCGTCATCATCATAATCATCACATGAATAACCTAGGCAGGTCATCTATAGAACAAAATCGGACCTTCCAAGTTGTTTTTATTAAATATGTGTGATGTTATATGCATTTTACTAATGATAAAAGTTTATGGTTTTAGGTACAAGGTTGGAGTTTATGTTAGAGGAAGATCTTAAGAGAGCTCCTTCAAATGATGTTACAGTTGCTCTTGGAGATAATCTATATATGATACCCCATATAAGATAACCTCAAGCTGATTTATCATGAAGAATTTCCTAAAAGCATTGAGAAGAGGAAAAGAGTTGAGATCATGTTTCAAGCAAAGGAGAGCTTACCTGGAAGATCTATTAGTTTTATCATTATTTTAGAATTAACTAAAAGTTAAATGATTACGTGTAAATTAGATTTTAGGTTTCTATCATGTAAGACAATTTGATATTATACGTGCAGCATATTGCAATATAATATCCTATTCAATTTATTTATTGGAATATATTTTACATAATATGGCCAGTGAAAACAAATTTGGTCCCAATATGTTTTAGCTGTTGACTTCTTTTACCAGTCGCAAAATGTCTTTTGTGGTTGCAAAATGTCTTTAACGACCATCTTTCAAGAAATTACGACAAATTTTCCGGTTGCTAATGGCCTTTTCTTGTAATGTCTATTGTCGTTATTATGTAACGATGAGTGAGTTTCCTGTCGTTAGTAGGCAACGACGAGATCCCGTGTCGTCGTTAATTTAACGACGAACTTTGTCGTTAAAACCAATAACGACGGAGCCTATAACAACAACTTGACGACGAAAAAAAAGTGGTCGTTAAAAGCTTTAACGACCAACTTTTGAGCCTATAACGACCATATTTTTCATTGTTAAAAGCCCTTTTTCTAGTAGTGTAAGGAAGAAGAAAATGATGTTTTACTTGGACTGAAACTTGCCAGTCTGGTCTGGTCTGTTTAAGTCTTGTCTGGTCTAGCTGAATTGGTCTGGTCTGGTCTGGTAAATGTCTGGTATCTGTGTATATTATAACTATGGAAGTCTGGTCTGGTCTTATCTGGGACTGAAAACAGTCTAAGTAAAAACATCCTAATTAGAAGATGATTATGTGGGATTTACACAATACTAGAATTATTACAAATCATCTAACTATGGTATGAGTATATATCAAAATTTGTTATGCTCTTATTCGTGACAGACAATTTTTAGCCTATTAAATGGGAAAATATTGTCTGGGCCCCAGATAAAACGGGCCGTGTAAATGGCGCATATGATTTTGGCATGCACAAGAAGCACGACTTATGGACTTATTTTGAAAAGGGGTTAGGTCATAGACAAGACTAATCAAAACGATTTTGACAAATCTAAGATTTCTTTAAGTAAATCCCAATAAAGAGACCAGCCGTTAAAAAAATTCGGAGGAATTGTCAAAGATACCCTTATTACTATTGAATCTCGGCCTCTTCTTATACGGAGTAAATCACAGCCCATTTCCATGTTCCTAAAATATTAGAGCAAGTCAGCAACTTCGAAATTAAAAAAATGCATAATTTTCACATCTCCGAAATTCTATTATTCGATGACCCTTTATAATTATTAGCTCAACCAGTTAAAATCATTGGACGTCACTTACAATTATCGGATTCAACCAGTTACAGTTATCCAACCCGATCAGTTACAATTACTGGACCTAACCAGTTATAGTTACTCAATTAATTACATTTATGCGATCCGATCATGTACAGTTACTCGATCGTCCAGTTACATCTACTCAATTAATTACATTTACGCGATCTGATCAGTTACAATTACCCGACTGTCCAGTTACAGTTACACGATCGTCCAGTTAGAGTTACTCGACCGTCCAGATACAATTACCTGATCGTCGAGTTACTGTTATCCGACCGTGCAGTTAAAGTTACATGATCTGTTCAATTACAGTTACTCGACTCATCCCGTCGCAGTTACCCAATTCATCCAATTACAATTACCCGATACATCCAATTACAATCAGATTGCCTGGTCCAATAGCAACCGCCCCTGCAGCCAACGGCCACCCACATAGTAGTGAACAATGCCCCTGCTCCGGCGGCGACTTACTGTAGCCCATCCTCTTACTCCTACAGCTCCTTGTCACTGCCGCCGGACAACCACCGCCGCCGCATGGCAGCCGCCCCCCTACCCAACCCTCTCCACACCCCTGCCCCTACCGGACGGCCACCAGACCAGCCCCTCCACAACAGCCACAGTCCAACGCAAGAAACCCACACCCCTGAAACCCAGCGTGGCCGCCGCCCCTGCTTCGGATCTGTGAACCCTAGCCACCATGAACAGGTCCACCGACGCCACCTCTGTACTGCCACCACCATCCGCCATCTAACCACCAAACCCTAGCAGCCATCTGGTATCCATCTCAATCGTCATTCAACCCTATCCATACAAATTGAACGAAAATCAACAATCGATTCTTGAGAAGAAGAAAGTAGAAGAAGAGTAAACTGACGAAGATGGACCTGGACGAGGCAACGGTGCACAGGGACGACGGAGACGGCAACGACGATGGTGACCTTGAGTTGGCGAAGACGATGGAGGCGACTCTAATGTCAGTGAAGGTGACAGTGACGAAGAGGGGAGAAGTGGCGACGGCGATGACGACAAGGTGAGAGTTGGCGCTGTACCATGGATGAGGAGGAAGGTCGCAAGAAAAGGTATCGATGGAGAAGGTAGATGACCGGGGCTTTGAGTGAGGGGTGATTTAGTCTCTTCTTTCATTTTTAGTCTCTTTTTTGTCCCAATGTAAACCTAGACTTATTTTTGTCTAGATGAAAGTCTACGGTCTTACTCGTGACATTATTTCTTTTGAAAAAAACCGGCCAGAAGGGCGGGTGTGGGGCTTGAGATGAGGTTAGGGTGGTTGGAGGCTTGGAGCGGGCGGCATCGGTCACTACGGGAAGGGACAGAGTGTTAAGATATAGCGTTCCATCCTAAAAGGTCAATTTATATGAGGAGTAGTTTATATCTTAATATAACACTTTATTATTTTACAATATTCCGGTGTGTGACTTTAATTGCAAGACTCTTACTACCATACGTACGGAGTAATAATTAATTAATAGGCTATTAGTTCTAAATAGGACTAAAAGTACTAGTGGCCATAATACATAATCACCTTGAACTTGATAAAAATATTAATATTTAATTTTTTGCAGGTTGGGACGATCCGATCACCTCCATGTCACCCGTTAGGGTGCCAATAGCATATGACCTGGCAACTCAAGGGGGTCGAAGCCAACTTGGCTAAAGGATCAAATAGGCCTATGTATGCTTTAGGATTGCTCAATTTGTCCCTTGAACTCAAAAAAGTTGCAATAAACACTTTGAAACCGATAAGAGATTCAAATTTAACTTTTGCGGGTTAGGATCCGGTCACCGCCGCGTCCCCAGTAGGGTGCCAACTGTGCATGTGATGTGGCAACTCAAAAGGGTCAAATATAAAAAAAATGATAAGCCCCTGAACCCAAACTGATCAATTTACCTCTCAACCCTTAAAAAACATCAAAATTTCATAAAGATGAGTAAATTAAATAATAATAAAAAACAAATTATTAAATATAAAATGTATTTCACAAAATTAAATAAAAATAAAGTACATGTAGAAAATATAAAGTATATATATGAAATATTTATATTTTGTGGTAAATTCGAAATCAAAAATAAAAATATAAACTAAAATAAATTGTTTAACTTTATTTCCAATGTAGTTTTACCAACTATATTTAATTTTTTTTATTTTATGTATCATATCTAATGTTTGGTAATATAACACAAGTTATAGGATTTTGGTTTGATAATTTTTATGAAGCATTATGTTTACATTTTTCATTTGTATTTTTTCCATTTAATATTTTTAGTTTTATTTAAAAATTTTAAAAAATATATTATTTTATGTAACTAAATTTTTTCAAAGTTACTAATTACACTTTTTAAAAATAATACGAAGTACTACGTACTAATTATGTGCACTTTATACTATATAGAGTAAGCTAATATATACAATCATATGTGTGTGGATGCAAACACACGGCGCGCGCGCACACACATGTCAATCTTTGTGTGTTTGTACACATAACTATTACATTTTTTACAAAGACTATACATATATGATTTGGAAATAATGTTCAAGAATTAATTTCGTTTAGTTTATATTTTATTTTTTATTTTTCATTTACCGAAAATGTATAAACATTTCATATATATATTTTATATTTCCGAATTGTATTTCTTATTATACTTTTCTTATCTATTTTTATCATTTACTTCTATTTTTTCGTAATTTTGTCGATTTTTAAGGGGTGAGGAGGTCAATTGAACCATTCAATCAGGTTCAGGGATTTATTTGACCCCTCAAGTTGACACGTCACATGCACAGTTGACACTCTACCGGGGTGACGTGGCGGTGATCCGATCTTAACCTACAAATAGTGAATTTTGAATCTTTTTTATCGAATTTAGAGTGTTAGGATGTTTTTACTTAGACTGAAATTTGCTGGTCTGATCTGATCTGTTTAAGCCTGCTTTGGTCTGATCTAGTCTGGTAAATGTCTGATCTCTGTGTATTTTATAACTAGAGAAGTCAATTCGTATCTGATCTGGTCTGAGACTGAAAATCGTACAAATAAAAACATGTTTAATTGGAACTTTTTTAGTTTAGGAGTTATTTGAGCATTCCAGGAATGTAAAGAGGTCTTTTCACCCTTTAGCCTTTAAACTTTAACCCCCTATTATTGTAATTTTGCTCTATTAAGTCAAATTTAGGGAATCTCCGTTTAATTAATAAGGACTTCGACCGGCCCGTAAGAGATACATAGTATACCATTCCATATACGAAGTATACGTACTTTAAGTACGGTACGTAGTATGAATTAATCAGGTAAGGGCTCTAGTTTGATTATGCCGACTTTGTGAAAGTAGAATATAAAACTCTTCCCAAACCAAACCTGAAAGGCCGGCCGCCGCACGAAAAAGCAGCAGAGGAAAATCCGAAAAGAGAGAATTTCCAGATCGATATATACAAGCTGCAGTTCATACGTGTACACAGGCCACGCCCTGGTATGTATATATGTATTTTTTCTGTATTACGTACTTTTACGATAAAACGTATACAATTCAAGTAGCTTATATATATATGTGTGCGCGCGCGCGCACGCGGTTATATATAGAGAGAGAGAAATCATCATGTCAGGCCGGTCTGACCGGGGGAGCCGTCCGGCCGAACCATTTTGGCGACCTTCTCGGTGGAATTTTTTGATGAAATTTTTTGAAGCAAATATTTTTTTGAAGTTGACTGCGTTTTTATATGTATATTTTGATTTTTGACGCAGTCAACTTCAAAAAAATATTTGAATGCCTTCCTGATCGAATTTTGACCTGAAATTTGGTATGGACAAACTAGACTTGATGAGGAACATGCTCAAAACATTTCATCAAAAACTTCCACCAGGAAGGTCGCCAAAAGGGCTCGGCCGGACGG